TATTCCTATGATGAGTTTGTTCATTTGGTAAATATATCAGTTATACATTTGCCGGGTGCCCATATCATGATGGGTTAGGCTATGGAAGACTTAACAACAAAATTAACATGTGATTTTTTACATTAATGATTGATTCTGTGTGCAAAACTATTAGGCTGTCTGCCATTGTTGGTCATAAAGATAGGTAGTCATAGGGGTGATTCTACTAGCAATAAGGGCTTAATCACCATTTAGTTTCTCTGCTTTACATTTTCAAGATGACTAAACCAAAAATGTGCATTAGAATTGGAGGAAGATTAATCAACAACTTGTGTTATGCAGATGACACAACCCTGTTTGCTGAAACTGAGAAGGACCTGAAGCACTTGCTGCAGAATATCAAGGACTGCAGCCTTCAATATGGACTGAAGCTCAACATCAAGAAAACAAAGATTCTTGCCACTGGGCCAATTGGCAGCATTGTGATGGATGGTGAAGAGATTGAGATTGTTAAAAGCTTTCGTTTGCTTGGCTCCACAATCAACACTCTAGGTACCAGCAGTCAGAGACGAACTGCATTAAGAGAGTCTGCTGTCAGGGACCTCTTCAGAGTACTAAAGAGCAATGATGTCAGCCTGGAGACTAAGGTGTGCCTGATCCAGGCTATATTCTTTGCAATTGCTTGCTATGCATTAGAGAGCTGGACAATGACTAGGGATAATAGAAAGAGGATTGATGCCTTTGAGCTGTGGTGCTGGAGAAGAGAGTTGAATATACCATAGATTGCTGGGAGAACTAACAAAGTTCGTCCTGGAGAGGGTGAAGCCAGACTGCTCTTTGAAGGTGAGGATTCTAAAGGTTCATCTGACATACTTTGGGCATGTTGCAAGGAGGGATCAAAAAAGAGAGGGAGACCATCAATGAGATGAATTGATATGGTGATTGGGGTAATGAGGATGGGTGTGTCAGAGACAGTAAAGTTGGCACAGGCTAGAGCAGGTTTTAGGGCTGTTATACATAAGATTGCTATAGTTAAATGCAACTCGATGGCACATTACAAAAACAAACAAACAAACAAACAAACAAAAACAGACCAGTTTCCATAGAGTTGATACTGACTCATGGCGACCCTACGTGTGTCAGAATAGAACTGTGCTCCGCTAGGTTTTCCGTGGTTGATTTTTGAGAATTAGATCGCCATATTTTTTTCATGAGGTGTCTCCAGGCAGACTACTTTTAAGTGTTATTGAGTCGGAACCAATTCATAGTTGACTCTCCAGTGGATTTTCACAGGCCATATATCACATGAGAGGAGAATGCCACTTTTCCTCTCACCAAGTTGGACTGGTTTTAGGGGCCACTGAGTCAAGTATGACGCATAGAGACCCTATGAACAAAAGACTTGAGCCCTGCCCTGTCCTGTGCCATCCTCATCATCTCTGACACACTTGAGCCCATTGCTGCAGTCACTGTGCCATTCCATCTGGTTAAGTTTCCTCCTCTACTTTGCTAGCCCTCCATCTTCCCAAGCGTGATGTCCTTTTCCAACGAACAGCCTTTGGCAGTCCATGGGATATTCAGTAATCTTCAGCACACAACTCAAAGGCATCAGTTCTTCTCATCTTTATTTATTGTCTAGCTTTCTGATGCATAGCAGGTGACTAAGAAGACCAGATACTCTTTAGTCTTAAAACTGACGTGATTGCTCTTAATTATTTTGGAGAAGGACCCTGACAGTGGACTTTCCTAGTGCAATACATCTCCTGATCTCCTGACTGCTGGTGCTGAGGGGATTAACTGTTGATCCACATAAGATGAAATCATTGACAACTTCAATCCTTTCTCCATCTATCATGATATTGATTGTCCTCCCGTGAGGACTATTGTTTTCTTGATGTTGAGATGTAGTCCATATCAAAGGCTGTAGTTCTTGATCTTTTGCAGCATTTACCCATCGCATGCATCCCCCAATGTTGCAACTCAAGGCTTGAATTTGGTTTTCAGTTCTTTTAGCTTAAGAAAATGCTGAGTGAGTTATTTCCTTTTTCTTCTCTGACACCTGCTTTTTGCACATTTCATTATAATACTTTGTCTTCTCAAGCTGTACTTTGAAATCTTCTGTTCATCTCTTGTATGTTGGCATCTCTTTGTTTTGTTTTGGTTTCTCGGTGCTCTAATGCAATTCTCATAGTCTCTTCAGACATTCATTTTGGTTTTGGTGAGTTTCCCACTCTTCTCTTTGTAGTGACCTTTTGCTCTCTTTATAGATGATATCCTTGATGTCTTCCCACACTATCTCTGGTCTTTGAACATTGGTGGGCTATGCCTCAAATATGTTCTTGAGATGATTCTTAAATTCAACTAGGATAGACTCAAAGTCATATTTTGGTTCTGTGGACTAGTTTTCATTTTCTTCACCTTCAATTTGAACTTGCATATGAGTAATTAACGGTCTGTTTCACAATTGATACCTGGCTTGGCTTTGAGTACTGATTACTGCACTTCTCTAATGATTCTTTCTGCAGGTATAATATTTGAGTCCTGTGCAGTCCATCAAGTGAAGTCCTTGCAAAAAGAGTCGTCTTTGTTGTTGGTCTTTTTAGGACAAAAATTGCTTTGAATAAATCATTGTGTGCACAAAATTAAGTAATTTTATCTCCAGCCTCATTTCTGTCACCACATCCGTACTTTTCAACTACCATTATCTCCTCACTGTTTCCAATTTTGATGTTTCAGTCACCAATAATTATTAATACTTCTTGATTGAATATTTGGTCAATTTTGGATGACAAAAATTGGTACAAATCCTCAACCTCCTTCTCTTTGGCTTTGGTTGTTGGTACATATATTTGAATAATGGTCATAGTAACAGGTCTCTCTTGCATGTTAATGGATAGTATCCTATCACTCACAACATTGTTCTTCAGGATAGACCTTGAAATTATCTTTTAAACTATGAATGTAGTAACATCATCCTTTTTCAGTTTTTCAATCTCAGCATTGCAGATCATATGATTATCTGGTTCAAAGTGGCCCATGTCAGTCCATCTCAGTTCACTGATGCCTACCTAGAATGTCAATCTGCATGCATTCCATTTCATTTTTTAAAACTTCCAGTTTTTCTACATTCATATGTGCATCCTAAGTTCCGATTATTAATGATTAAACTGCCTGTGCTCTTCTGCTGTTCATTGGCTTTTTGAAGGCCTGTTCCTCGCCTGTCTTAATCTCGGAGCTCTGTTGCAATCTGTCCACTACGGGTGACCCTTCTGGTACTTGAAACACTGATGTCAGCCATACAGCATCCCACAAGCTACATCAGTACTAGGAGTCCTGAAAACATAAAATAACAAGTTTTTCATCAATCTATTAGTACATTACTATGCAGGAAACTAGTCAAGAAGAAAGTCATTAGTGTGACTGGTTTCTTTGGGGACAATACTAAGACAACTTCTCAGAGAAATCACCCCAGGAAAGGGCAGAGCTCTTGTCAAACCTGGACCATGGTGTTTCGTCCTCGATCTTTGGCAAGTTGTACAGAAAAAGGATGGTTTGGGTTCCAAAGTGCAATTTCATATTTCCAATTAAAATGTAAAACCAAACGTTTTTCATAAAATGCATTGGCCACAGCACTGGAAAGTGACTACAAAGCTCAACGCTGATTAAGAAAAGCTGAAAGCAGACATTGTAATTGATAAAGGAGATAAGTCAATCTGTGTCCTTTAAAGAATAATGAGTTCCATTTTTCATCAAAAAGATCTCCCTGTGCCGAAGAAACATTCTTTCAATAAATCTACTTAATGGTTTCCCCTCTAATGATATATAGCCCTGTGCTCTGGAACCCAGCATCCCAGCAGGTCCTTGAGAGGGCTGTGGGCCACCCATCATTTGCATTGCAAATTCACCCAAAGAAAGCCCAAATGTTTCCCAGGGAGGGCTGCTGTCCTGGAAAATATTTGAAGGCCATCCTGGTTCTTCCAGCAGGTAGATGGGAAGAAAGGGTTTTTAATAAATGTTCTGTAAAGATCCTCTCATTCAATTTAGGATCCACTGCAAATTTGCACCCTGCCATTCTCCCCTTCCCACCCCCACCCATACTCTGCGGTGATCAGGGATGTATCAGCCATGAGGAGGACACAGGGCAGACAGTTCCAGAGTTAAATGCTTCAGATACTTGGGTCGTGAGAACTGATTAGTTTTGTTTGTTCCCTGAGCTCATCACCCTCCCACAGACACGACAGCCTTGGTGTTGGGACCATCAGCGGCGGGAGGTAGACTATGTTTACTGCATTTGGTAAATGGCAGATCCACTTTAATGATGTTGTTTGAAGTAGCCCCTCAGCCCATTTCCCACCCTATCATGTGTTGCCTCAGTCTCAGGTACAGAGAAAAGGGCCTGTCCCCTTCCATCTGAAGGAATGATTTAGGGCCCTCTGACTCTTTTGTTAGAATGAAGGACTAGTTTTCAACCCAGTCACTTTTGTGGGCCCCAACTTTATAAATGTGCTTTTCTTTCCACAAGGACCCAGCTTTATGTAACCAAAGTCTATTTCCTCCAAGGGCACCCAGCCCTCCCAGTACTGCCTGGCTGCCCCACATGGGAATCATTAAGAACGGCCCTAGAGTTATTTCCTTATGTTGCTGTTTGTTTATTCTCCAGTCGCGTGTGAGTCAGCCAGATCATGATTTGTGGTGGTTTTGCTTGTGAAATCTTACATAATTGTATTTCTATTGTCATGTTGGGTCAGGCAGTTAGAGCATATAGTGTTTTCGCATTGCACAATGTTTGTAAATCAATGAAGAGAAAGGCTTAACAATGAGATGACGGCTGATCAGGAAACCTGGCCCAGCAAGTCATCCATGAGGTAGCCCTGCAGTTTCACAGATACAGCTGGTGACACAGACTGTAATGCTCTTTAATTCCATGACTGGACAGGATGACTTGGTGGGCGGTGGTATTTCTGATGGGTTTCACTAAGGTAATATTGAAAAGATGAGACGAAAGAACAACAATAACAACATTTCACACATCAACCAACCAAATTTTTACTGTATTCATTACACGCTGGATTCCAACATGCTGAAACCCAGTGTGGCTGGCTATACGCTGGCAAAACGTCTCCAGGCTTTTTCTTCATCGCCATGTACATTGATTTGTTTTGATCCTACTCACCATCCCAAGTCCAAAGGCAGTTTTGAAGAACACTCTGGATGCAAACAGTGAGCGGCTACAACACGAATGGGAGTGGGTGCAAATTACACGACAGAGCACAGGATCCAGGCAAATGGCTGGCAGAGGCAAGTCGCCTCTTTAGTTGCAAATAGTATTATCATGAAGCGCAAAACCCACAACTGTGTGTATTTTTAAAATTCCAGGAGCATAATGGATTGTGTTATGAAGAAAGAATTACTTGTTCTTAACACATTTTGTATGGTCTGTCCACTGACCCGATTTAAAGCATGGCGGTTGGCACACGTCTTCGAGCCATTATTTGTATTGATATAGGATGAAGATTACAAATATCTGCATAAAAAGAGAGACTGACTGGATGGGTCTACATGAAGACAACAACCATCACATTCCACTGCACATCATCGGTTAATGTCCCAAAGTGTCAAGCATTATTGAAAAGACAGAGCAGGCGAACGTGAGTACAAGAGCCACAACAAAAGCGGTCATAACAACAGACCCAAATCCACCTTCCCTATGAATCCTTTTAAAATTTTACTTCGGTTTCTAGTGCTTCACATTAATTGTTGTTTTAAGCTCCAGTAGCAGGATCAGATTTCTGCTGCCTCTGGGCAAATGAGTTATGATCTGATATCAAGTTCCAAGGGAAACGCTCAAAGTTTTATTCCCCCCACTCCCCCCAAGTTGAATAAACAGTACCAGGTCTATTATCTCTTGAGTTAGAATAGTGTTGTCTTCACATAAGACTCACATAATGGTATTAGTCATTCATTTCCTTGAGCACAGACACCCGCATGCGTGCTGACAGGTTTATAAGGACGCGGTGGCAGCCGTGGGTGCTGGGAGCTGAGAGCTGCTAGATGCCCGACTTTGATTTCTTGCAGTCCTGAGCGATGGAGCCCAGGCGGGCCTGGTTATTGTCGGCTTTCTCTCCCAGAGGCTTGGCTTGTCTGAAAGATTAATACATTAACAAGAGCTGAAGGTCCAGGGTTGCACATCTTCAGACATGTTTATTAGCAGATGGCACATAGGATTCAAAGGTCAACACAAAAGTGACATTTTAAAGTGAAACAACAATATTTATGCCCAGATAGTCTACTGATGAGATCATGTGGAAATGGTTTTGATTAAATTAACTTATAAATGGTTGCCAACCTATAGAAAACCTAAAATGTCATGTCTGTTTACCAAATATTTTCTCCTCAGCCTCTCACCTTTTACATATTAATAACCAAATGCTCACATATTTTCCTTTTGTGTGGGTACACAACAGCAGGACCCATATAGTCAGGCTTTACTCTCTGAGTGGTCTTTTCTTATTAATTCTAAAAATGCGGTCTCCTGTGTGTGTCCTGAAATCTCACCTGCTCTCATTACTGATTTAAGAGTTTGGATTAAACAGTGGAAATGTAATTTCTCAAATATAGACTAAATCTCTGGACAGATGCAAAATCCAGTCTCTCAGATAAGAGTTTATGTCCGCATCTCATCAAACATGAGCTGGCTTTGGGGAATAATCACTGGGCTGTATTTTTTGCCGTTGCAGCTCTTTTGTGACAATGTGTGTTGGCATGTCATATTAACAATGAGAAAGCAGAGAAAAAGGAGACTGAAAGCCCCACTCAACTCGGTTTTGCCTCCTTCCTCTATTGTGTCCTCACCGGAGCATGAATATGACTGAAAATGCTCACCTCAGAAAACAGCTTCATTCTAGACTATTCAGCAGCATGAAGTGAAAACCAACCATTTAAAAGTTTTGCAAGTCTCTAAGTTAATAAAATGAACCTGAATATTTCCAGCAAAGGGCATTAAAATGAAGAGACACAGAAACCTTTTTGCTGTTGTTGGTCATCTTTAGTCACCTCTGTCTCACCGCTGAACCCATGTGTGCAGAGCAGAGCTGCCCCATAAAGGCCTCTCGGCTGTGACTGCAGAAGCTGAGTCTGCCTTCTGAAGTCGCTCTGGGTGGATCTGAACCGCCAGTATTTCCACCAGTACTTGAGCACCTAACCATTGTTGTTACCCAGGGAACCCGTAGACATGAATTACTTTGACTACATACTAATTTTAAATTTTCATTTTATTACAAACAGTTTTATAAAATATAGCCATTACTAGGATAGTTTTCCTTTATTATCATCTTTGTCTTAATTTTGGAACAACCAAAAGATTACAACATGTAAGAATGAGGGTCAAGGATTTACTCACTTTTCAAGAGAACCTTTTTCAATGTTCATTGCCCCTTCCACTGGATCCAATCCTTGTTCAGAAAATTGTTTCAAGGCACTTAAAGCTGCCTACAAATGAAAAACAAACAAGGAGACCTATTCACTGACTTTATGTAAAGAGCAAGTAATTGAAAAAGAAACTTGAGATCTATGGTAAAGACTATCATTTTCATTGTCTAAATAAATGCATTTTTCCCCTAGTTTAGCAAAATTACATTTGAAAGTCTGCCTTGTCATGGAGCAATACACACACATTAACAGAGCTCTGAAGGTTTTCTTTTTGGGAGGGAGGAGGTTGAGTCAGAGACAGTCTCATCCCTTCTCAGCAATTGGGGAAAACCTTCTGCTTCACCTGCAAGTGTGGAAACAGCAGCATAATCCCATAAAACTTCAAGAATGATTCTGGCTCGTTCCTCATCGCATTATCAAAACAATACACTCTATTCTTTCAGATGCAAGTTTTACAACTTTAATATTTTTCCTCAAGTTAAGCAAAACGGTTCATCTTTACAGAAATCTAATCAATCGAATCCAATGTGTGAAGTCACAGGAAGCTAACAAAGGGAGGCACAACTGGTACTCGTGCACACCAAGCGGATGGTATGAGGGTGTCACATTGAGCAGAAAGAATATTCTTGGGCCTCCGGACTCAGGGGAGGCCGCCTGGCCAGGCAGAGCTTTGTGAGGTGTTGATGTGCCCAGGGTGCGTGGGAGGCTGACGGGTGTCGACAGGCTGGTGGAGGCTCGATGGATAGCTGGGAGGCACCAAAAATGCGATGCTGATAAGATCTACATAACTTGTTGACACTCTTGTGCACGGTCCAAATCCTTATTTCTTTGAATAAGAGTTCAACTGGCCTTCCCCCTCCCCCAGGCCCCATTACTGCTAAACTCCATTAGAAGGGTTTTGTTGAGTCTAAGGTAGGTGTGAGCTAGCAGGGCTGCACGGGTTTTAATCTAGGAGAACCCCTGCTGTTTCACACCTTGGTCATCTGTACCTTCTCAGTTGCCTTTGAAAAACAACTAACTCTTCCAGTTTTCTAAACTTTTATCTGTGAAGGGCCCTTTTGGGTAGCGAAATGCATGGCATTTCTTTGTTAATATTTGTGTTTCTCTCTTTTCACTTGGTTTTTCTTTCCACCAATCACTATTCCTTTATCTAATCCCAAATAACAATTGCCCTTTTTCTCTTTAAAAGAACCCTTCCTCTGGGATATGTATACTGGTTTCCTTTTGTTGTTGCTGATACTGGATTTCATCAAGTTGATTTTGATTCATAGTGACCCTGTGCACAGAAGAGTAAAATATTATTAGCCAGCCCTGTATTATCCTCATTTACCATTAAGCCTTTTGATACAAATCCTTGTATAAGTTCCATCTTGTTGAGGATTTCTCTTTGTCACTGATATTCTACAAAGCTTGATGTCCTTCTCCTGAGACTGATCCATGTTGACAACGTGTCTGAAGTACGTGCAATGAAGTCCCACTGTCTTCTCTCTAAGGAGCACTCTGGTTGTATTGTGCTCAGGACAGATTTGTTTACTCTTCTGACAGTCCATAAAACAATCAGCATCCTTTGCCAACACCACAATTCAAATGTATCACTTCTTCTTTGGTGTTCCTAATCCCTCATCCAGAAGGCACAATGGATGACTGAAAACGCCATGGCTTGGGTCAGGTGCACCTTAGTCCTCAAAGTAACATCCTTGCCTTTTAGCATTTTAAAATAAGCCCTTTTGTAGAAGATTTGCTCAATTGTTTGATTTCTTGAGGGTTGCACCCACTGGTGTTGACTGTGGTTATAAGTTAAGTGATTTTCATACATGCTGACGTGCTAATTCACATGGTCACTTGCATTTCAGTCCTGCCCTGGGAAGCCTGGGGCTGGGAAGAGACTTGTGCTCAGCCTCAGTTTCACCATTATGACTTTAAACTTGGAGGCCAAACAGAAATACATCTTGTTGCTTAACCACAACTCCAGATCCTTCCCATGTTTATACGCTACAGCAGCCAGTATGAGGAAACTACTCTTTTGAAAACATATTGTAAAAAGAAGGCTGGCATAGGCTGTGCTGGTGGCTGAACTAACTTCAGTAGGATTGGAGAAAGGAAACTTTGATCATCTTTTTATTATAAAAACATTCTTTCTGTCTAGGAAAAAAATCTGACTATCTAGACAAGTGTTGTGTAACATCCAGTCAGAAGTGACCCAAAACGGACCCTCCAGCAGGTTTTCAGAGGCAGTTTGATCCAGGAGATTGCTCATCTTTTTCCTGTGGAGCAACTGGACGATTTGAACTATGTGCCTTCAGGGTTGCAGCTCAGCTCCTTACCACCAGAGCTCTCTAGACAAGTGAATAGAATGTCAAAATACTCACTACCATCTCATTATTAAAAACATAGTATGCATCCTTTAATACCCTGTTCTCTCCTCTCTCCTGTATATGTGAAATGCACTTTGCCCTGGATCTCATCTCCCCACCCCCATCCTGTGCCATCCTTACAATCTCTGACATGCTTGAGCCCACTGTCACAGTCACTGTATCAATTCATCTTATTGAAGGTCCTTTTCCCTTACCATAGTCCCCCTGCATCTTTCCAAGCATGATGTGATTTGTTTGTTTGTTTACAAAGTTTGTATACGTTGTTTCACACTATTCTTTATTCACATTGTGTTTTATACAACCATTCTCATGTATCACGTTTTATAAAATTAATTACCATTGGACCTTGCCCATCATTACCCTGTGTTTTCACGCAGATCCTTCTCATTTCCTTCCCCCACCCCCTGCACCTGCAGCATTATTCACAATCACAAGAACATGGAAATAGCCCAAATGTCCAACCACAATAGAATGGATTGAGAAATTGTGGTACAGTCATACAATGGAATACTATGCAGCACTTAGGAGCAATTTAAAAAAAAAATACTACATAACTTGGGAGAAGCTGGAGAGCATTATGCTGAGTAAACTAACACAGTCTCATCAGGACAAATATTACATAAGGCCATTTTTGTAAAAATAGAAGGATAACAAAACATGTGTGGAATCATATCTTAATGCTTGTTTGTAACCTGCCCCTTTATAATTGGAGAAGTTTTTCACATCATTAGAAACATTTCAGCAACACCATCCCTCCCCACAGTGCAGTATTCCATTCACTTTACCTGCCCTCCTATATTTACTCAAAGGAGCTGTGGTGGCCTTGTCTGTCGGGAACTTTACTACTAACCCAAAGACTTAGCCTCTCTCATAGTTCGAATCCACCAGAAGTTACACCAGAAAAAGATGGGAAAATTCCTCCTGTGTGATTTACAGCCTTAAAAATCCAACAGAGGGTGAGCTATGAGTCAGTTTCTACTAGACAGCAGTGAGTTTGAATTTTTTAGTTAGTATTGAACCAACACATTCTTTAGTTGTTTAGATCCTTCCTAACTTTGTTACGAACATGTCATCTTGGTAACAGTTAATCTTTGTATATATTCTCAATAATTTCCTTAAGATAAATAGCTAGAAATGAAACTTCTGGACCAGAGGTCACACACATTTAAAATATATTTGGAGTGAATTTCCTTGTTCACACCAAAGAGAGAGGCCATTTATCCTCTCATTTACAGGGTAAAGAGATTGCCTGTTTCTCGAAATGATTTTGGAGTTACCTTTCCAGAACACTCTGCAAGTCAAGCAAACAACCCTGCTTTGTCATCTCATGGGCCTACTTGAGTCTTAATCCATCATCCTTCTCATTCACCTTATTTGTTAGCCTTGGCTTTGAGTGAAGTTGAGTTGCTTTCAAAAATTAAACCCATTCTCAAAAGACCCAGATTTGGACAATTCTAAAAGTCACAACAAAACAAAATTTCCAGAAGTTAACTTGACTGTCAACTAGATTTAACCAGGTGACCACTGTTGTTGGATGCCATTGCCTAGACGCCAACTCATAGCGACCCCCTGAACAGATCCAAACCTCACCCTATGCTAAGCCATCATCTGCGCCCTGCTCAAGCCCATTATTGATTGCAGTCACTGTGTCAGGTCATCTTGTTAAGGGTGTTCTTCACTTTCACTGACCCTCACCTTTGCCAGCATGATGTCTTTTTCCAAGAACTGGTCCCACCTGACAACATGCCCCAAGGATGGTGACCACTGAGTCCCTTTCAAATCCTGATGTGTGAGTGACTAGACAGACTTTCAAGGTGGCTACACTGGAGACAGTCCCGTGGGCATGTACATTCTTGGGGACTTGTTGGACCAACCCCTGTTTTGTTCCTCATGTGTGTTCATAGGAGCTAAGAGCTAAGCTGACTTGCTTCCAGACTCCAGACTCCTTTCTCTATTCCTGACCCTTTTTGCAGATTTTCCTAACTTCCTGGAGTAGGCTAATGAGTTCAGCTGTTGTTAGGTGCCACTGGGTAAACTATGACACAGCAACCGAGGAACAACAGATCTGAACTCTGCCCTATCCTGCACCATCCTCACAATCTCAGAGTTCCTGGTATATGTGTGTGTATATGAGTATGTATGTATATATACATTCATATACATTTTGAGCAAATGTATGGCTACCTTGTTCTGACCTGTTCATACATAAATAAATTATTGACCTACACACTGATTTCTTTTTGGCCCTTTCTTCCAAATAATTAGTACAGAATGTTCCTACTATGCTAGAAAATTTACATTTCCAAGGGGATATTGCAGAAGGAAGGTCTGGCAAACCTTAGGACTTTGACGACCAAGCAAGATTAGGTTGGTCCAAGCAAAAACAACTTTTAAAAACTGGTTTGAAATAATTTACAAGCTTATAAAAGCCCAAACTTTACCAGTGAGTTGACTCTGACGCCTGGTGGCCCTCCGTTGGATTGCCAAGGCTTGAACTAAAAACCAGAGAAGACCCTTCATTTTTCTCTTATGGGGCAGCTGTTAGATTTGAACTGTGGTGGAATTGGAACCAAAACACAGCTAATGCTCTAGTTTTCATAAGCTGTAAACTGACAGAAGGAAATTACTTATTTTGTTGGATTTGAACCACCTGCTTTGGGGTTGACAGTGCAATACCTCACCCTC